CACTTCAGTGGCTGCCATTATTAATGTTGTACAGGTGAGCAACACTACCCAATTTTTTTCCATTTTCCCCATCTAAGGGCCTGAACTAAGGGGGGCGGAGGAGGTGAGGTAGACTGATTCATCAGCCGGTTCAAGTTAACTGTTGCCCTCTTCTGAATAAGTGATGGTCTCGAAAAAGCATCCGCCGGTGAAAACTTTAGTAATAAGCCGTAAACAAAGCACAAATGTAGAACAAGTCAGGTCAGCACAGTAAAAAAAAGTTCTCGACACTGTCTCCCCATCAGTCTTTATCGGAGTGAGTAAGAATTATCCATATTGCCTCCTAAACAGGGCAGGGGAAAATAGAAACGCTCGGCGCAAAGTGGCCCTGCCTATAGTTCCATGAAGGGTAAATAGGTTTGTACAATACACCTGGCCCTAAAATAAATTTAAACCGTAAGCTTAAACTTCATTCAAAACATACCGTACACTCTAATCCCAACTTACCTGAACGTTAACCTCAACCCAAACCTTACCTTCAAGCCTAAGCGTATTTTCCGTGGAATTTATGACTTAAATCCAACCATCAACTTTATTGTTAGGGGTTTGGAAAATTGGCTTAATTCAGTTGACCCAATTGTGAAAAAAACTCGAGGCGTTCGGCGGGAGTTGAATCCACATAGTAGAGAAAACCTTTACCGGAAGCCAACGTCCTAACCACTTGAGCTACAAACGCCCCACCTCGCGCCATGAATTAAATCACACTTGGATCAATTTTAGTCGCCTAACTTACTGCTCGTAAGGAATTCACCATTACAGAACAGCAAGCCTACTGCCCGGCAGTATTTCCTAATCAATCATCTAGAATCCACCAGAATGACTACTAGACTCACTTAATTGTTAGGGGTGTTTGGCAGAAATTAAACTTAACCTCAAGCCTAACCGTATTTTCCGTGGAATTTAGCACTTAACTCCAACCATTAACTTAGTCCTAAACTGAATTATTTCGCAATTTGCCGCAAAGCTGCATGTATAGCGGGTGGTTCCTGTTTCTGTGTCCCGTTTAAGCAGCCATCGAAGTAAGCATTAGCGCACGTTCTTCCCAAGTAGGTAAGTAAATAACGCCGACTAGATGAATTAACTTGTTCCTCTGATATGAAAATCGCCTTTCCTAAAGTAAATCGGATTTAACGAAGGTGACGGTTACAGCGAAAAAGACAAAAATTCCGACTCTGCTGTCCACTTTAATCATACTGGGTGGCATAAGAGTGGTGATCAGTGATCTACTCCAATGACAGAAGACGATAAGTTCTTTCCTTTGCACCTTGCAGCCCCAGTCTAGGGGGGCCTTGTTTAGTCTTCTCACGTTGATAAGTAATCAGTAGTTGAGAAGTGTTGTTGGGATACTGAAATGACCATTTTACCTTATGTCCCATTATATGCCAGTCCTACTCAAACCCCAGGCCGAGCTAACTAATGGTGTATAAAAAGGTCAAAATAACCATTCAAAACATATATAGCACTGATTTGGTCCTCAACACATCACCTTACAAAGTCAGGCGTTATAAAAACTGAATTTTCCTGTTGCGCACCTTAACTGGATTATTATATTTTCAGCAAAGTCATTTTAACTCTTTCTTGTTATTATTTCTTCACGGGGTTTAAGGAAAGGCCATCAACCGTTAGTTCTGCTAGGCAATAACCCAAGTGTCTTTAAAGCCGAAAAATAGAATACACTGTTTTTTCATCATAAAGTATTCGGAAGTACACACAAAACTCCGTTCAAGTTGAAGTAAATTTCCGGAGTCTCCGTAGTACCCGAGCAGCTCGAAAATTACGCAGGTCGGAGAATGTTTACAGTTAACGGACAAACTTGTACAGACAGCTAAATATTATGGTTTTGAATTAATCATGATAATTCACAATCCATCCACTCAAACTTATTCTTCATCTAGAATTTAATTTTTCCTACACGGTTATGTGTGGCACATATTTTTTATAACGATTGGCTGAAGGAATTTAACTTCTGTCTCTACTGCCTTAACCATGTTACAGGAAATAGTTCAGCGCCCGTCGTGAAATCGTCCGGCATTACTGTAGCCTCAAGCTAACGTCTTCCTTATCGTGGCTTTTTTGAGGCGAGGTCATGTATGTAGGCCCGCCAAGGACAGCGCGGTTGATTCAAAAATAGTGCTAGTTGGTGAAAATGGTCGGGATGGTCATAAAACCGGTGGCAGATGGTCCGTGATAAGTTGAAACCCTGTCTAAGTGAGGCCTTATCTAGTCCCGCATGTGCGTGTGGTGCACGTCACAC